ACTAAAACACAATAGTTAGATACTGTGTATCAGGGCATGCCGCTATTGACCTGGCACTGATGTGATGATGGTGGATGAGAGACTGTGTACTGTTGTTGATCTCAGTCCAGAAGAAGAAAAGCTGCAGTGTGTCAACCCCAAACGACCCAGAGTCAAACAAAGAGCTTCAGTCTGGAAACAAAGAGCAGAGGAGGCCAGCAGCCAGCTCAAACACAAAGCATAGTGTGTGTTCACAGTTTCGCCACAGTGGTGGTTTGTTTTTCATCATCAGGCCACTCAGCCCACGCTGATTGAACATGCATTTAAATCAGCCACCAGTTGCCTTCCCCTCCACAAACATGGCCATCATCTAGAAATGAGGACAGTATCCACTGGGATGTCAAAGGTCATGACAAGACTCTCAGTTTCCTTTTCAACAGGTTTCTAGTTGTGTTCGCTTCTGCCTGCATCAGTGGTCTGTTATGAATTTCTTAGTTAGCAAACAAAGGTGGTGAGAAGAATTGAACACAAAGCACAAACACTGTTAGCTATGATAAAGTCACTGAATCTGAAGCCATTTTTGGTACAGGGAGCCTGGAAATAACCTGCCAACAGTCCAAATCCCTGGTTTCAGAGAGCAGTTTAAATGAAAACTCTGAGGTTGTTCTCCCCAAAATGAGGGGAACTCTTGAGTTTTCAGTTCCACAAACAGAGATTACTGTAACTCTGAGTCAGTTACCATGGTAACTTACTCCACCAATCTAACCTGCTCACGGTCAGGTTTTCTTCAACCAACCCAGACTTTGTAGCTGTCTCCTCCCTTCTACAAAGTTTACAGATGCTGTTTCATTTCTGTGTTCATGCAGTTCATGCACAGCTCAGTGGTGATGTCAGTGCTCTGCTGACAGCTGATCGGTCCACAGACAGCAGGTCAGCAGGGCTAACAGGTGAGAAGCAGCTGTGATGATAAATGAAACCTTCATTCATCATTTAGCAGCTTCACTGAGTCTTTAGCAGCAGACATTCAGTTTGTGACGAGGGTGAGCATGTTCCTAATGAAAATCTACTATGTTTCTGTTTAAAAGTTGGGAACAAACCAGAAATAGAGTTGATTCCATCAAAAATGTGTCAGTAAAAGTTTTTAGTGTTCAGGATTTTTCAACAGTAAACAAACTAACCCTGAGTTGTTTTGTGTTCTCAGGGTGCCGTGAAACTCATCATGGATCTAGACAGCATCGGTAAGCTTTTCTGGGCTTTATTGCACAACAGACCCTGCTGTATTATTCAGAGCACAAATGAACATTCATCAGAGCCTCAAATTTACAAAAACAAATTTATACCGTGAAGGAGTATTATCACTGAAACACACGAGCTTCAGCAGAAAGCACTTACGTTAAATGTCTGTATTTGTTTATTTCCTGTTTTCTGTCCTGTGTAGAGGGACTGAATGAAATCCGTCCATCCGTCTACAGAGTCGCCATGAAGCTGCTGTCACTGCAGAAACTCTGTCACAGTGAGTCCCATGCTTCTATATTTATATACAGTATTAACCATAAATACCACTGTTGTTGTACAAGTGTAATTTTACTTGTATATGCACTGACACAGTAATACAGTATTAGTTTGAAGTACTGTGTTGGGCTTGTCTCTTGCTGTTTCTATTTTTATGTTCTTTTTTTAAAATTCGATTTTATTTAATAGTTCTATCTGTGTTTGATTCTGAATTCTCTCTGGACAATAAGCGTTTATTTTATTTAACCTTAAATATCCAGAGGTTAAAACACAGTTTGCCCTGGAACAACACATATGCATGTTTCTGACGCTGTCAAAAAAAATCTTCACTAATCACAGCTATGGAGTTCGTTCCTTGTCTGAGTACATTCTGTCTGTATTGTGTTATTGTCGTGGCAAGAGTGAGATACCAACTAAATTAATTCAGACAAACCATTACAATTTAAAGGATCATTTAATATTACAATTATTCTAAATAGAGTAGCATTTAAACAGATAATCTTGTAGTTAGGGAACAGAGAACAGAGATCAGAGAACAGAGACTTTCCTCTTGCAATGGAATAAATAAAGCCTAAAGATTGTCGGAGCACCAGTCAGTCAGGTCAGGTCGTTTGTTATCAGTCCTGAGTCAGTCAGCCCCAGTCAGTCGTCTTCTCCCCAGCCGGCTGGGTCCCCAAAAGGGTACCTCGTCTACTGTTTACTGCAGCATGGTCCTTCTCCTCTCTCTCTCTCTCTCTGGCTCCCTCAGGCTCACTCCTTTAAATAGCTGGACTCTGTCCCCCTTGACGTCTCTGCGACCCCCCTTCTCACTCCATTCCGGGAAGACAGGAAGGTTGACTCCCAATGTTCTGGCACAGAGGGTTCATCTCTGACCATACTAGGCCTTAACTAGGATTCTAAGTATTAATTATATAACCACTTACATAAGCTAATACCAAATAAGGTCTATATGAGCTACATACTGTTCTATCACCTATTTCTTCTGGAATCTGATTTATTATTCACCACTACATTATGTTCCTGTGCACTCTCAAAAGTATTTGCAAAACAAAACAACTGTTAAAAAAAGTTTGAAAATTACATTCAGCGTTCATGCACCTATCCAGATGCTCACACACAGGAAACATTGCTCTAATTAAACACTTAAAAACTTGTCAAAATAAATATAAAATAATATAAAAATATGAGTCGGTGTGACCACGGTGTGTTTGCATTTCAGTGGATGTCGTGTTTGTTCGCCATATCACGACAGCCCTCCAATCAGTGGGCAGAGCAGAGCAGCAGCAGGAGGTGGGGTTGAACAGGGACGAAGTCACCAGGACTCTGAACAGGATGTTTCATAGTGTGTCACAGGAAGTGACCATGTCAGCTCCAGAGGAGATATGCAGTCTTATGTTCAGGCTGTACAACAGGTAAAGAAACAATCATATGCAAAAACATCTGTGTGTTAAAAGTTCAGTCCATAGTAACGTTGATTTATTTGTGTTTGAGGAGTGACACTCATGTTTCTGCTGCTTCTCTTCAAACTGCTCTGGTCGCTCTGTCTGCAGACAACCTGCTAGCAAAATACAGAGGTAAGAACCTTCACCTGCCATCTCAGGCTTCACTGACAAATAGATAAATACTCTATATCACACATTAGTGTGGAAATGAGACTCGAGCCCTGAGGAACCCCACTAGTTGTTCCTGACATGGTCAACATGACAATCATGGAAAAATGTTGCCTGGTCTGATGAAACTCAATTTCTGCTGTGACATTCAGATGGGAGGGTCAGAATTTGGCGTAAACAACATGAAAGCATGGATCCATCCTGCCTTGTATCAACAGGTCATACTGTGGTGTAATGGTGTGCGGAGTATTTTCTTGGTACACTTTGGGCCCCTTAGTACCAACTGAGCATCATTTAAATGCCAATCTTTCTAGCACCTTGTTGAATCTATGCCACAAAGAATTAAGGCCATACTGAAGACAAAAGGGGTCCAGCCTGGTACTAACAAGGTGTACGAATAAAGTGGCTGGTAATTGTAAATGCTACATTTTAATTTGAACTATTTAGTTAAAATTTCCACTCCTCAGTGACTTCAGCTTGGGTGATGGACGAGTCCACCTCTGAGCCCTCAGCCTCTGCTTCCTCATCGGAAGACATGGCGCCGGGATTGAGGAGATCCTCGAAGTATTCCTTCCACCGTCCGA